ATTACATCTCTCTCCCCCCTTCACTCCTCTCTCTCCCCCCCTTCGCTGCTCTCTCTCTCCCCTCCGGTAAACAGCAGCGTACGCAGTGTGTCATTGCATTATGTAACGCGAGATACGGCTGATACTTGCGCATTAGTTTCTGTTATGGATCAGTATCAACAGTCCTGCCAGTAACGTCACTATATTATCATGGTCTATTGGCCGCCTAGCAGGCTCATAATTATAAGGTTGTGGTCCGTCATATGCATACAAATATGCATTTTCAACCTCTTCTGTGTCAAAACTAGCATTCGCATTTGTGATCCATGTTTATTAATACGTTCATGTGACGTCACACGCGGGTGGTCTTTTATATGGAAGTAAAAATGTCTTACAAAAACGACGCCAGATGTCACTGTAATGTATATTTATGTAGTGTATATTTATTTGTTTGAAAATCTAGTGTTTACATCATTTTCCTACACATTTATTCACTGGGGTCTCTAACCTGCAAGTTGCTCTTTAAACTTTATCTTTTGTTTTTATGGCATTCACAAAGAAAATGTGCTTAAAATAACAGCAGAATTAAAATAATGAGATGTGGTAAATATCAATTTGCCTCATTTCTGAATGTTTAATTTACTGTAAATAATTTGAGTTACATCATTATCTTACCTTTATTTAGCACAAGTTGCTTTGTAGTCCTGTCCATGTGGTAGAAATGAATTCTCCTCTGGTGTGGGCGGGACATAATTGCGCTCTCTCTCTATATGGTGTATGACATTGACACATCAGTGGAACCAATGACAGCGCCCTTAAACCCCTTAAAACTGACCAAAAATCCGACATTTTCCATCTTAATTTCACTAAAGTTTATATGTATATATACACACTACCAGTCAAAGGTTTGGACACACCTTCTCATTCAATGCTATGTGTTTATTGAAAAGTTGTTCTACGTTGTAGATTAATACTGAAGACATCAAAACTATGAAAGAACACATAGGAATGATCTAGTTAACAAAAAAAGTTTAAACAAATCCAGAATATGATTTTTATTTTAGATTCTTCAGAGTAGCCCCCTTTTGCCTTGATGACAGCTTTGCACACTCTTGGCTTCTCTCATCAGCTTCATGAGGTCGTCACCTGGTATGGTTTTCAAGTAACAGGTGTGCCTTGTCAAGAGTGAATTTGGGGAATCCCTTGCCTTCTGAATTTGTTTGAGAACATCAGTTGTTTTGTGCAGATGTAGGGTTAGTGCACAGTGGAAAGCCCTATTTGACTACTGTTGTAGTGTTAATATTTCGCATCACGTTCAATGTTCAAGCTTTTCATTTTGCCCTACGAACAATACAGTGTAGTATGACAATGAAAATCTTAGGTCACAGGCTCCTCCAACAATGCAACACAATAATACAGATAAACAGAAAAACATAGTGCAAGTAAATAGTAAATACAAAAATAAACAGTTTAAAAAGTGAAATAGTGCAAAAACAGTCTATATACGGAAGTTATTCGAGTATTATTAATAGATAAATAGGTACATAATTTCTAAGTAGCAGCAAGATGAATGTATTGATGTTGTCACATAAACATTTATAAAAAAGGATAAATCTCCTGAATTTTTTTCAGAATGTTGCTTGGAGAATATTCTTCATTTGTTATCATGTAACATTGAGGGAACGTTTTATAATTCCAAAAATTTTACAAATGAACAATTACAATGTACTATTGTTTACTCATTGAAGAGGTTCCTTTTGTAAGACGTTTACAAATCCCTACAATAACTCCGGACTTCATACTGTTTCACAAAATATTTTACAAGGAAATACACTATTCAGTCGTTTCCACCTGCAAAACGGACGTTGCTAAGATCCTACACAAAACATGCAAACAACCCATTGTGTAATTTCTACCAAGAAATATTTGCCAGGTTTAACAATGTACTTATTGTTTACTTCCTGTAAAGTTTTCGTAGTAAGACGTTTGGTGAAGTCCTACATAACTCCGGACTCTACTGTTCACAGAAATATTTTAAAGGAAATTAACACTATTAAGTCGTTTCCACCTTGCAAACGGACGTCGTAAGATTCCCACAAAACTGCAACACCCCAGTTGTAATTTCCTAAAGAAATATTTTGCCAGGGAGTTACAATGTCTATTGTTTACTTCCTTGAAGTTCGTTTAGACGTTTGGTTAAGTCCTACAATAAACTCCGGACTCTACCTGTCTTTCCAAAATATTTACAGGAAGTTACACATACAATTGGTTTCCACCTTGCAAACCGGACGTTGTAAGATTCCTACCCAAACCTCGCACATACCCATTTGTGTAA